GGATCTATTTGCATTCTTCTACATGTAGATATTCAGTTAGATTAGCAATATTTATTGAAGATATTTTTATCTTTTTTTCATTGTATGCTTCTGATTTCTTTTTCAAAAATCAAGTGTGTGTAGTGGTGCATTGGTCACCTTGTTTATTTCTTTTTTTTTTTGTTAAAATGTTACTTTTAGCTGGAAGGGGCCAGTCTTGGCCGTTCTCGCGTCTGTCCCGGCCCGCCGCGGCCGCTCCGCCGCTTCTTTGCCCGGGCGCCTCGGTGCGCTCGGTCAACGGCCTCTGCGAGCGCTCGCCCGAGCGCCCCGGAGCCGGCGGGCGGCAGCCCTCTCTCCGGGCACTCTCCAGCAGGCCCAAGGGATAAAAGTGGCTCTCAGTCTAGCACATGCGCATTGGAGCAATTTAAGGAGTTAATATGAAGCACAGAAGCAGATAGTGCCAAATAGCAAGCCTGTTGTTTCACATTTGGTGAGTGGGGCAGCATTTCCTTCTCCCACTGCTGCTGAGATGGCAGAAATTAGCCGAATTCAATACGAAATGGAATACACCGAAGGTATTAGTCAGCGAATGAGGGTCCCGGAAAAATTAAAAGTAGCACCACCAAATGCTGACCTGGAACAAGGGTTCCAAGATGGAGTTCCAAATGCCAGTGTGATAATGCAAGTCCCAGAGAGGATCGTGGTTACAGGAAATAATGAAGACATTTCATTTTCAAGACCAGCAGATCTTGACCTTATCCAGTCTACTCCCTTTAAACCTCTGGCACTGAAAACACCACCACGCGTGCTCACACTGAGTGAGAGACCACTAGATTTCCTGGATTTAGAAAGACCACCTCCAACTCCTCAAAGTGAAGAGATCCGAGCAGTTGGCAGGCTAAAAAGAGAGCGTTCTATGAGTGAAAATGCTGTTCGCCAGAATGGACAGTTGGTCAGAAACGATTCCATGTATGGCATTTCAAACCTAGATGCAGCCATTGAAGGAGCATCAGATGACATGACTGTGGTAGATGCAGCTTCATTAAGACGTCAGATAATCAAATTAAATAGACGTCTACAACTTCTGGAAGAGGAGAATAAAGAACGTGCTAAAAGAGAAATGGTCATGTATTCAATTACTGTAGCATTCTGGCTGCTTAATAGCTGGCTTTGGTTTCGACGCTAGAGGTAACCCCAGCATTCACATATATTGTCTCAACACCTGGAAATATAAAGGATTTGCAAACTTCATTGTTTCTGTCTTTGCATCGTATGCCGTTTTTCTAGTCCAAACCCTGAAAATGTATTTCTTCCTGAATGCAGGGAAGGACCTGTATCTGTAGAGTAAAGGCCTGTTCTGTTGCTGATGGGCATTCAGCCAGTTCTGCAGTGGCACCAACACTCTCTCCTTTTGCATGTTTTGTAAATAGGCTCTAGGTTTGTTTTTAAAGAAAATAATTTTTTTGGCCTCATCAGTCTGTACAAGCTAATTCTCTAAACAGAAATGACAGTCATAAAGAGTGAGTTTAGAAAAATGTCTGTGAAAGAAAAGTGTTTTGTCCTGTTTTTCAGATGGTTAAGCAGTTTCTTTGATAGATGCTTTTTGTATCTACATCTCAACAGCAATGCTTTTTAAGTCAGAGTGTGTGTGGTACAGGACTTAAGAAAAGTCAAACCACCTAACTCTCCTTCTTCATCACCTGTACAGATGGAGTTTTAAAACTCCTAACAATTCAGCAGTTTATCTGTGTGCAATATGTTGTTTTGACTTTCATCTTAGTTTTCTATGAAGTATGTTTTTACCAAGTCCATGTGTGAATGATTTAAAAACCTAAAAAATAAGGTATAAATGTAGTGTATTTAATAAACTGTCAACCAAAAAAAAAAAATGTTACTTTTATTTTAGCACACCTGAGTTAAGTGTGGGATAGTGAAACAAACACAACAGAATCTATACAGCATGTCAAGGAGGCAGGCTTTAAAACCATGCTATAGAAAAGAGAAGACTGGGAGAACACCCGATTTAACAGAAGCTTTGGATACTGATTGATGCATATGCAAATCCAGGATTCTCCAAAGGATTTGGCAAAGATTTTGTTTTGCATTTCCAGTCTTTTAAAGTAGACAGATTTGCTTACAATATAGCTGATTTTAAAAGCACACAAAATTTAAGTACAAACAGTGGAATTTAATCCAGCAGAGTTATAAAGGTGCCTGCAACAAAACTGACCACCCAAGGTAATGGTAAACAGCAAGGCTAGAACCCTCATCCTGCAAAGCAAGAAGAGGGGAAACTGCAAAGTGGGGTTTGTGGGTAACCTTAGCTTCTACTTGCTACTTGATTCACAAAGTAAGAGGCCTTTACAGATAACCCACACCCTTTAATTTTCTACTATGTAATAGGATTATAAGACCACAATATTCCTTTGGGAAAAACCCTTTAATGATTTAAATATCACTTACTTATTCTTTTGAAGTGTAAAGTGTCTTAACTGGATTACAATTACAGATCATTTTTAAATACACCATTGCTACAATATTAAAATTATTTATACTATTTATATCTAATATTCAAAGAAATTTACTAGTAAATGCTACAATAGGCATCAGTCTGGCATGCTTATTAATTGATCCCATAGGTATAATTATAGGTCATGATAAGAGTCTATTCTGTCTCACTAAATCAGGAACACCGCATTTACAGAACAAATAAACACACATAGTGCAGACACCCAAGGATCATGCTAGCTCTTCAATTAGCTGTCACAGCTCAGACATGAATCCTCACTGTATGAACAGAAGTCAGATCCAAATCTTCATCAGAAGGTGCTAGTGGAAGTTGTCAGAAGCCTTCCAATGTAAATCCCCAAGCCAATGGCCAGCAGATGAGACAGTAATAGAGATGGAAGGAAAACCTTCAGAAAGTCTGCTGAGAAAATGCCCCCCTTCTTCAAAACACTTGTGTTTCTCATGCTGAGAGTAGCTGTGCGCTTCGGGTGTTTAAAAAGGAACTCCTTGAGAGGAATATTTTCTGGCCGACTTGACCAATCCCATGTCCAATCTGAGTTTTTCTTCAAGATACTTTCAACTTCTCTTCTTCTCTCAATATAATCTTCCTCTGACAGAGTGCCTTTTTTCTCGCCAAAGCTGTGGGTGTCTATTTCAGCTCTGTTGGTATCTTGTGGTGTCTGGGAACGGGGTGGGCTGTCACAGTGAGAACTCTTGGAGCTACTTCGTCCAGATTCATGCTGGGCATCCAACAGTATTTTTTCCATGTCACCATTATAAATAGAGACAGAGGCTGGAACGCTGCTCCCATTACCATCGCTGAAGTGCAGTTCTACCCAGGAGCCTGCATTTCTGGTCTGCTGGCCTCTCTTTTAGGTCCAGTAGGCAAGGTTCCTGAGGCTGAAACATTGAACTGTATCTCTTGCCATTCCTTTACTCCATGCAGGTATTCTACAAACCCTGCAGGTTCTCTTTCCCGCTCTGCGACATGGTGGCTCGGC